ATTTTAGGTGCTGGGGACTCCGTGACGGAGGGTTCAGGGGAGATAAAAAAAAAATCTCTGCTCTTATGGAGCTTTCGTTCTTAAAACGTAAGCACTTGGCTTCACCATCCTGGATAGGAGCGGTTGGGTCCCTAATGGCAGAGAATCCTATCTTTCCTAGCTCCTATGCTTTCTATAGCGAAAGGGCTGATTTACTGCATAAGCCGAAGGGAGAGGCAGAACCCTGTGTCCTGCCCCACCCCTGCCTCTGCACCCCCAGACCCCACAGAGCCGGCTGTGGGGTGCTACCGTTCCCCTACTCATATCTGGGATTATCAGCATCGACAGCTGCGACAGCTGCTCTATCCTTTCAGCTTTCCTGCGGACAGCTAGAGGACAGGGAAGTAGGACCGGGCTCTAGCTGCATCCTCTGAGAAAGGAATGCGGGCTGGGGAAAATCCTTGCAAGGCAGTCGGGCTCGGCGTCTCATACCCAGACGGGAGGGCTGATCTCTCCCGGGCTTGGAGGCTTATGCAGCAAACTGCTCTCTCATGCTTCCCCGTTAAACACTGCAGCCACACGCGCTTTCCAGCCCCGGCTAAAGCCACTGCGGCGTCCCCGCCCTCCCCACCCGCTAGTCCAGACTCCAGAGCCCCACTGCAGCTGCCCCACCATCCTCCCTTTTTTCTTCTCCACTTCCTGGTTACCATGGAGACATACGTCATTTACGTGCCGTGCGTCGCCTTGGAAACAGGGGAGCATCCGCGGCGCAGCTGGGAGACCCGCTCCTGCCGCTCCAGTCACACTCGCGGGCGCTGTCCGTTAATGGCTGGGGGAGTCCCGAGCCGACGCGCGGCTGGCCTGGGCTTCACCCCGGGCCCCTCCGCCAGAGCCTGCGTGTCCCCGGCAGCCGGTGGGCGCTCGGTGCTCGTGGCGCCCGCAGGGCGGCGCTGACACGAGCGCTATCCAGGCGGTGAGGCAGGGCAGGGCACTTTTGCCCCCGGGCGAGCCCAAGAGACGCCGGCTCTGGGACCCTAGCCGGGTCCTCGTCCCGCCGCCTCTTTCCGGCTTCCC